CATAATTGGCATTAATTGAAACTGTTATTGAGCAATGATCTGATAGGTGGTTTAACTGGTTAACTCTAAAATATCTAATCTGTGATAAGAAGATCTTTTGAACAATAAAAGAGTCTACCTGACTTACACCATTGTACTGTATACAGTATACAGTACAAATAGTATAAATATTTACATGTGATATACCAGAGATGAAAAAACGTTTTCACAAAATTACAATTGTATATAAATGAATTTACATTCATACATACATGTACACATTACTAAGAGTATTACCGATGCGTCTACATTTGTATATGTAACGGATGACATGGCCCCTATGCAGAAAACATGTACTTGGTCATTTTTATATTCAATGTGACTGTTACTACAATTCACCTGTACAAAATGTATATATCGTCTCTAACTGGGCATAAGCTGACCCTTTATTTTTAGACATTTAATTAATGAGTTGAGGGCTTCCTTGGTTATATACTAGGGTGTTTTTCATCGGTGTCGAATAAACTAAAAAAATAAAGATGCTTATTAAAATATGTGTAAACAGTTTTAGTGCATAAAAATTGTTATTGGTACAGTAGTTCTTGTTTAAGATTGTTTGGTGGCCCTGAAAAGGGTCGGTTGGTTTACGCTTTTATGAGAAAAACTCATGTAAATTTCACAATACATAGCCAACAATGCAACATATTCTTTCTCTTCTGTTATCGCTCATGATGAACCCAATGCTGCAATACTGTAAAGGGGGTAATTATTCACTGGGTTTTAATTTAGCTTATTTCGCTGACTGGAAAATGCGCTAAATTAAAACCCAGTGAATATGTAAAATTTAGCATAGAACACATTGTCTAAATGACGAAACCGTGAATTTAAAACCCACTGAATATGCCTGAAATGGTAAATCAGTGAAATTTAAACCCAGTGAAAATTAGTCATTTTACAGTATTCAGGTAAAACATATCTCTTTGACCGATTAGATGCAGGTACAATTGTAGCTTTCTAAATTCCAACAAATGTGACCGTTGATTCATGAAACCTGGTCATTTGACATCTTTTTACTTTTCCAAATACTCAGTGACGCAAAAAAGATGTAATATTACTCCTTACGTGGTAAACGAAAATTGTCTTTTGGATAATTGTTCAAAGGATAACATGGTTACAATAGTAAACAAAAAAATCTTCTACTTTTCTGAGGAGGTCCACTTCTTACTTACCCTGATTTGATTGTTGAGATGCCTGGGCTTATGACCAGCAGAAATATGGTACATACCAGTACATATATACGCTAATCAATAAGACTATTGCTACAAATCGTGGACATGTACTTTTTATACACAATAAGACTATTGCTACAATTCAAACAATACCTGTATACTCCCGGTACTTGTAATTTCAGACACCTTTTTTTAATTTGGTCAAATATAGGATGTTAAAAAGTTTTAGCAAAATCTAACACAAATCAGTGAATTATTAGTAATTTATCGTGCTGATTTCAACAATATATATTTATAAGTCTTGTATTAATTTAAATTGTAGATTCAAACTAGAATGGCAAATGAGAGATATCTAAGACAGCATCCTGAAGTGGATCTTTTACTTGCTGGATTCCTTGGGTAAGCATTTTAAATTCTATTTACTTTACAGGATGGTCTTTATCAAGTAGTACTCTTAAATTGGGTCATGTGAGTTCATTAATATGTATAAATATAATTTTGAGTGAAATGCATAAATCATACTCTCATGTCTCAAATAAACATACCCCCCGGAATAAACATACAGTGTACCCCTCGGAAAATTTCCGGAACTACTGGTTAATTGTTTCCTTGCTTCTGAAATGTGCTCTTACTGGTGTATAAGCAAATTTTTCACTGTCCCTTGTAATTAGGAACATAAATAGACAACAATTTGATGAATTTCTAGCAATATACTTCAAATCTCTGTTTGAAAGGCCATAAGATGTAATGAAATAGTAAACCAATCACTACCCAAGTCGGCTGGGAAACTGCTCCACCAAATTAAAAAATATTCTTTCCACCATGACTCCAATGTGATTTTGATGTGATTTTCCACTCTTTAGCAATAGTAGTTAGTATATTGTATTGAACTGTACCGTATCGTACAAGTTTATTGTGATTCTTTATGTGTTTGTAATATT